GTTACAAATAAGTAAAAAACTTTGAAATTTCTTGCGGCTCACCTCGAGTTTTTGATAGCTTCCAAATTTTTTTAAATGATATTGCAAGATTTAATGATCTGGGAAGCCTTGAGGTGGTAAAACACTGCCGAGAAATACCTAGAGCTCAACTTAAGTTGTGTTTTGAACTCAACGGTTCCCCAGTACCGGTCTATGAACTCTTTCAGTCAGGCACAAATCAGACATTCTGCGCCCTCCACTTTTTCACCACGGTTGCCCAGCTCTCTGTGATGTCATGGTCGTTGCACGTACAATATTTGAATACGGGCTACCGTTTCTCCAAGCGACTCTACTTAAATACCGTCAAGTTCCCCGTGAAACAACGCTCGCTACCAGTCTGTGAGCACACACAGCGGTTTTTTAAATATTTCAAATACTCAATTCGCTTTTCCGATGGTTATGTCTTTGAGATGTCTGAAAAGTTGTTCTTGAAGATATTCATGGCCTACTTCGAGATAGTACATCGATAACACTGCTTTAATGAACCAGCTCTCCGTTCTTAGAAATTCTCAAATTGAAGCAAACCTTTCCTAATAGCCCCAGCAGTGATAGTACAAGTATCATTATCACCCATACAATTGTACTAAAATAGCTAAAATACTTTGTTAGTTGTACTTTGTAGTCAAATGAGCTCCATTTGAAAGCTACCATTAGGTAAATTATAAGAATTATTTTTGCATAAAAAGCATGAAAAAGAGCTGAAAATTGCTCGACTTTTTGAATGAATTACGTTCCCAAGAAAAAACTGTTTGATAGGGGATTTTCATTACAGAGCTCTTTTGAAGCAACGCTTTTGACATGACGAACCATTAGTTGTCCTCAGGAGGGAGGAAAAGAAACAATTCTACTCGCTTCTGGAATTGTCCTTTGACAAGCTCCTCTTTACTACAGTGAGCCCACTAATGAATGGAAATCTCCGGTCGTTCACGCCCACACAGTCGTTGCCACCTGCATTACATATATTTTTCATAGAAAACCTGCTTTTGTGGATGAAAAAATGAGGACAAGTGGTAGTACCAGTGCTTGCCATACGTACGTCATAGAGAATTCCAACTCCCAGAGGGCATGCGAACACTAAGAGGAATTACCAACAGGGTGTAGTACTATGCTCGAATATCCCAGACAACATTGACTTCTTGGAGCTCAACAGGCTCTTTGTAGACGGAAAGGCAGGTGTTTACCCGGAATTTGTTCCTATTCATTCGATGCCTCTGACCGTACCTGAGACAAGGTACTTGTTGGCTTTGTCGCCGCGCCCCTAGCTCATGCTGGGGATAAGGGAGATTAGTTCCAGGGGCAGAAAATTAGGATGAAAAACGAGACGCCGATCTAATAACTAATTTATGATTTACTGCGTCACGGTAAGATCGGCGTATCATTCTCCACTCCATTCCCACCGACAGGTCAACTTTCCTTTAATCTGAAGAGGACTTTGTTTTTATATGGGTGTTGTTTATATGTAAAGTTGCAGACAAAATTTTGAGAATGCCAATCGTCGTTGAGTACTCAGAATCGTATTCTCAAATATTTGAAAATTCTTTCTACACTGCCGTGGAAGTTCTAATTCAATAAACAAAAAAACTTAAAAATAAAATTCGATATTATTTATGTTTCTGCTTGGATTGCGATCCTTCTAAAGTCAACCTACGGGACCTGGTCAATAAAGAGAGGGAGCCCGTGTTAAAATTTGACCGGATTTGACCTGAATCATCGTTGACTTATTATGTTTTTCTTGCATTTCAATGGGGTGCAGGATTAAAGATTAAGTTACAAAGGAGATATTCCCTTCAGGAAACTCACGTCCTTAGCATTATTTTTGTCATATTATTTTTTCTGATCACAAACTTTTCAGAGCGAAAATAGTGATGGTGTTACATTGATAAAGCGATGACTCCGAAACCAGATTTCTATCTTCAACGTGGGACGTCTGTTGACCCACAACGGTCTTCAGATACATCGAAAAAAAGCACGGTAAATAAGAGCTTTTTGCAATTGCCAGAAGAAGTCGGTTGAAGTTAATAGGTCTAAGAAAAATGAAATCGAACTAGCTCCCGAAGATGTAAACGGAAAAGAAGGAGCAGAAAAAGGGGCTCCAAACGTTAAGCCGCGGTTGAATGTAAGATTATAACGCCCGATGAAGAAGTCCAAACTTGATGGGCAGGGTTGTACGGAGAGGGAGGGGCCGCCTAGGATTTGCCTAGGATTCTTCTCTATGATCAATTCACAGCCCCTCTCTTTTCAAATTTTCCCTTGCTTCAAGACCTGAATTCTAAATTATGAACATTTTCAGGTCCTAGCTGTTCCAGCATTTGCAAGTCCAGTAGAAGATGATGACGATGATAGAAAATATACGTATACACCGTCAACAATCGAAAAAGTCATCAATATTCTGCTATGCAGGTGATACCATTTCTCAAGTACGCCTGAGAAGATGCCGGTACCTTACCTATTGAATGGCTCTTAGATAGAAGTGATCATTCCGAGAGCGATTAGTATATCGTCAGACACATTACTGAAGGCCTATTCCGAATCCGCTTTTTACTATCGTTCGAGTATTCCATGAACATAATCGACTGATTGGTAGAAACCTTCTTCCAAAAAAAAAGAAGATCCTAACCTCCCAGGGTTTCAAATGTATGGACGAGGTCCCCTTCAGCCTTAACAGTGGCGACTTTGAGGAAGAGAATGTGGTTTCTGCTATGCAAAGATTAGAATTTTCATGGAAATTTAAATAGGAGCTTGGGTCAATCAATATACTCTGGAATGCAAATGAGAAAAAAGACACGAAAATCGCTAACATAATCTTCTCAGCACATACTACCACTTAAGCCTCTCAGGCGGTAGGACATACTTTGCTCGTATATAGAGCAGAAAAGTGTTCCTGTTTTTACCCCCTCCAGCAAAACTCCATGAATAAACGCCTGAACGCAGCTCCTTATCGAGCTTTCTTGGGTTTTCCAAAATAAGGTCTTCTTGTATGGAGCTTGATTTATTTCCCCTGCACTGCAGTTCAAGCAAATCTTGACTACCCACGCCTTTGCTCCCGAAGTTTCGACCCCCCTTGGCCGAACTTAGCAGTCCAATTCTACAATGCAGGCAACCAATCAAAATTATCTGAAAAATAATCATACAAATAAAAACAACAAGTTCAGTAGAAGACTCTTTTTAACGACGTAGACCCTTTTTGCTTTCTTGGGAGTCGGGGCAACTTTTTACAACAAAAGAAATATTTAGATTGGTCTGACTCAATGAATTACCTACGTCATTGCTTACTCTTATAAATAGAGTATGTACGTTCTGGCCTATTCAATTTTCACAATGAAAACGTGCCATTATGCTCAATAAGCTCAATTATATATGTTCAGTCAAAAAGCCTTCGAGTAAACAGAGTAGTTAGTTCACAAGCGGACAAGTCAGAATTGAGGAGCATGGAAAAAATCATGTTATACTAATCAAAAATTGAATGAGAAAACGAGGGACGTCAGAGGATATATGTTTCACTTGAAAGTATGGGAAAAGGAAACCCAACAATGCGGTTTCTTTCAACAAAGTGTAACCATGCTTCTGTTATCCCCTCTGAAACTTCTCTCTTTTCAGAGGCGATCTCGCCAATCGGGTACTAGAAGTGAAACCGGTATCAATATTTGGATTGGTGAGTTGATTATTGAGAGTAGATTTTTTCGGAGGAAAAAGTAGCAGAACCCACAGACCGGGTGGCTTCCTTCCACCCACCTTCCAAGCTTTCCCTGTCTTCGAAAAACGGTTATCTAGCTACGGATGGGTTTATGACTAAGAGAGAGAAGCAAATTTGTTACGAGAAAATTTCCTAGAATTCCTGAAATGAATGCGGTTTTTGGATGTGTGAACATAGGTATACAGAGAGCTATGAGAGCTGGCGAGTCAGGGACTTCCCCTCTGCCAGACAGCTTAGCACCCATCCCTATTCAGGGCCTAAGAACAAGACTTTGACAAGAGCTTTTTGACGAAATTCTGATTCACCTTCTACGCCCAAGGTACAGGCGTCGTTCACTACTTGTGATTGCGTATCAGCGGGCTCCACTGTGAAAGGTATGATTTTCTCTCCAGAGCTCGTAGGGTTCACTCGATTACTGCCACAATATTCCCTACCGCTCTAGTCCGAACAGAACGGAAAATTCAGAAGGAAGACATACTCAAGGAAACAATTGATAACTATTCTCAATATTAGTCCTCCCACTTTGAATGGGAAGGATTTGGAACATGGGATAACAGTCGAACGTCTTCTTGACTCTGTGTGCTCCGTTTTCTGTATCGAAATGAAGTGAGGAGCTGCCAAAGGGTTCAAGATACCTGGCAAGCCCTGATGGTGATTCCCAGCCTGATTTGTTCCGAAAGTATAATAATATCATGCCCAAAAACATTCCCAATTAAGCTTCTTAGTCAACGAGGATGAGCTTGGAAACTTTTTGTGATTTGGACTGATTTCTGAACAGAACTACTTGTCGCCGTAGTGCCCATTCATTGGCAACCGCGCTAAGATCAAACAGAACTTTGCGGTTGCTTATTGGACTACACAACTAAACAAATAATACTCGTGCTGACAAATCACTTGACACTCCATCCACAGAGACATGAGTGAAACTATTTCTTGAGAGTGGAGAGCTCACACAACACCAATTTTTTCCAATTTTACAACGGGAATGGGGTTCTCCCTAGAAGTGGCCTGACATATGAAACCGGGAAGTGTACCTGATAGCTAAGAAACCCGACACGACTACCGTCCTATTCAAAAACTGAAAGGGGAATGATATGTCATGCTTATGGGGATAATCGCTGGGTAGAATATCTACCCACTACCCAACTTTTATTGCCTTCTTGGCCATGGGATACCAATACATCAAGCACGTCTAACTGCCACAAGTGATGTAATATAACACTTCTCCAAGATGGCTTTGTACTAAAGGCTTGCCCCGCCTAGTAGAATGAGAATTAGCCGGCCTATGTCCAACAACAGGGGACTCTGAGATCAACTTGAAAGTGACTGAGATAAGAACAGCTACGAAGAAACGCCACGCATTCCACATCTAACCAGAAGTCTTTGGTGCTTGAATGCGTAAGTGGGCCTGAATGACCGAAGGGGAAAGTCGGAGCACATAGCAGCATCCTCCTTCCAGTTTATTCTAGTATCAACTGACAGGCCTCGATTGAACTCGAACTTCAGTTTAGCCCAGATAAGCTCGATATCCCCATTGGCCTCCTCGTGAAATCTTGCCCTGAGATTGGTAATTAAGAGTGAGATATTAGATGAACTTCTGGTGATAGGCAAATGAATAAAGTTGCCTGGTCATCGCGGAGTGCGTATATACATCGTAGTATGTTTTTGTGAGTTACCTTTTTAATTTTGAGGAATTTTTCACCCGAAATTTCAGTTCCGTTATGCTACAAATTGGGATCGTTTTTGCATTTTTATTGGCGTTATTTGTTCAATTATCAGTGGAGTATCACAACCAATTATGGCACTTGTCAGGTGAGTATACTGTATTTGGAATAAACATTTCTTGCTGATTTTGTTCAAGAAATATCTAGAAAATAGAGAGTATTCCCAAAAAGGACACGGCTTCGATAGCACTCACCCTAAGGCCGAGTGAATATGTTGGAAGTCTTTTCCGTCCCGTCTTTGTTCATACTTAGCCAGAACATTTTCGAAAAAGCCAAAAACAGGGTCAGTATACATACTCTAAACTTGATTCATCAGCAGAATCAGAGTTTGCTGAAACAGGTTAAACAACATGCTAACCAAAATGAGAAAATTTCAGGAGTATTTTGGAAACCGGTAAAACAAAAGTTCCAATTTCAGTGGACGAATTACGAATGTTCTGCTCGTTTATCCACCAAATTCAAAAGAATTCCGTAATAAAGCCTATGAGAATGTATATATTTTCCTTGGCATCGGCGTCTTCGTCCTCATCACAAACTTCATACAGGTTATATTGATTATCAGCAAAAAATTATCTGTCGACCCTTATTGATTGATGGGTAGTGCTAGACTGAAGGCCCGGGTTTTGAAGTTAAGGTAAATGCATTGATTAGGATAGGAGGTAATCGATGACATTTATCCATTCGAGTTATTTTCAAAATACCCTTTTTTGTTTTCGGCTCCTATGAGTGAAGCATATCAAACGACTTATGTTAGGGAAAAATTGCGTGAACGGTAAGGGAGCAAAGAATTTTCTTGGCAATCACCTTTCCAGATAAGAGCAGGCTATGTATAGCTGCAGCCTGATTATGGCTAGATAATGACCAATCAATCCAAAAATGTAAGTCTGGCGGTGACGTATCGCCCTGACTAGTCGGTTAACTAGCAGCTTATGTGTACGGTTGGAGAAGCAACAGTAGTTCTCCTAATAATCCCTTTTGTCCTGTGACTACAGTCACAGTGGGCTAATCAGCAATGAACACCAAAAAAGGATTGATAGGCAAGGAAGGGGCTCCGGTGCTCTAAGGGACCCCTTTTTTCCTGTGAATATAGTCATGGCTAAATCAGCTACGAACAGCAAAAAAGGAGTGATAGGCAACAGAGCGGCTCCGATAGCCTTACTTCTATACCTTTAACCCCTTCTCCCAGATGGTGGAATGAGTTTTCACTTGTGTGACCACTTCCTACCTCTAGTTCTTCCTCATCAATCGCTGTCTCATCTATTTAGGGCACCTATTTGATAACATGTTATTACTGTTGTACGCCACAATCAATCTTCAAAAAAATAACTTTTAGTTTATGTGCTTTCACAGCTGCTGTACTCGTGTAATTTCAAAAATGCGTCATGAATATGTTCGAGCGATACTTCGCCAGAATGCAGGCTGGTTTGACAGGAATCACTCTGGAGCCCTGTCAACAAAATTGAACGAGTGAGTCTGATTTCAGCGAGAAAATTTAGAATTTTCAAAATGCTCGCCAAACATAAAATATTGAGCCTATGAGAAAAATTACGGTATTTTCATTCTCCACAAAAAAACATCTGCGAAAAAAACGGTAAGGAAAAGAAACACTGCGACGTTCTTGAAACATAAAATAACTATGATTAACAACCTTTACGGGGATGCGCCACGTACACGATAAATATTCAGAATAGTAGAGGCTTTTGGAGTCAAAGTAACTCATAAGAGTAGCTGGCGAAAGCTAGCCCGTTAACAAGTCAGTGTTTTCGTTCTTCAAGACGAGCTTAAGTGCCAATAAAGCAAGGCTCTGGGGAGAAGGAAGGCATGTTTGGAGGAAGCTATATCCGTATTGTCGTTCCATTCTTGAGTCATGTTTGGGATATCTTTGGAATATGTCACTATCACATTTTCACTCTCCAGCATGGATAATTTTCCTGGTAGGAGAAAAATATAAAATTCGATTGTAAACTTGATAATGTAATAGAAACATGTAGTACCTATTGAAATTGGTATTGTGAGGGTTGAAGTGACAGATTCAGAGTAACCTAAACTTGAAAGGAGCATATCGGAACCAGTTTAAAGGAGATTGGTATGACTTCTTTGTTTCACGACGGCTTGCTACTAGACCTCATCGCGCCATGATAAATAAGGCCTCAGAATTTTGGAGTGCCTCGGACCTTTGAAACTTCCTCATAATCTGAATAAAAGTCGAAAACATGGCGCGAACCTAAAGCTGTAGCGATTTGATTGGTTTTCATTATAATTTTTTGAATGCTTTCTTTTGAGAAAAGCAAAAAAGTAATTTTAGAAAGTAAAAAAGTGTCAGGAACTAAAAGCATTCGATTTCAGTAACATGGAAAGAATTCGTGAAGGAATCGGCGATAAACTTGGCCTGTTGCTTCGAGGATGTGCCATGTTCACTGCAGCCGTGATTATTGCATTCATCTATGAATGGCGATTGGCATTAATGATGCTTGGAGTAACGCCAACTACATGTGCCATTATGTCCATTATGGCCAGGGTAAGTCGTTCTCAATTGGCACTNCCTTGCTCAGCTTACCATTAGCTTTTACTTACTAAAATTCTGTTTTTGGTCAAAGCGCAAGGGCAAAATACCAAACAGTCTTTTCACCGATCCACCAGAAAACCGACTTTCTATCTTCTAGAGACCACCCCAAATGAGGAGGACAGATGATCTTGGTAGGATCATTATGAATCTCAAAGGCTAGATAGCTCCGATCTATTAATGGATGTCCCAGTTGTTGCAGCACCCTTGTCATTGGTTGAACTATCATGCATTTCAATGTTCCATCAATGGGAATTCACATAGGAGGGACTAGGTTCAACCACCGATTTGCACAGTGCTCAGGGTACCAGCATCTTGAAGCGTTCTCCACGGTTGTGCAGATGAACCGTTGACGCTCCATGAGGTTGGGGATTTGTGGGCAAACTTTCGGCTGCGGACGGGACTCGAACCCGTGCTTGTGCTTTCCGGACGCCGTGCTCTTGTGCTCTTTATCCCTTGTACCAAAGCCGTGCTTACCCCCGTCTTCTTGATGGCGAGACGATCAACTAATATGTCAAAAGACATCAAGTCAAAACCGTTGACGATTGCTCATTTCTACTGATTTATTTCCGTAATTTTTGTTATTTCTTATTGATTTGAACCAAAAAGTGCACCATTAAGTGTTTACAGAATTGAAAAGGGAATTAAAGGAAATTAAAAGCAATATAAACACAATCCAGAAAAAAGGAAATGAAGCCCGCGAAAAGTAAACAACTACTCGCGCCATTCTTTTAATGGAGAAATCCTAATACGTCTGAGTCGAGCGAAGTTTTCAGGATTGTCGAATATCAGAAATGACTAGTATTCATTATGCTAACTCATTCAGAAAATGACGTCAACGACTATGCGTGAATTGGTTGGAGTAGGAAAAGCTGGATCGATTGCTGAAGAATCGCTTATGGGGGTTCGAACCGTCCAAGCTTTCAATGGACAACAAGAAATGGTAGACCGGTAAGTGGTAAAAGTCACAGTCACTCCCACTTGATAAGAGCAGTCACTTCAAAAAAGCTCTTTCCAGACCTTGAATTCTTGTAAGATAGAGTTTGATTCTGTTGGGAGAAGACTGCCTCTCACTTCCATTTAACCCTTCAATCCCGCTAGATTTTATTAATTGGTACCAAAACTTTTTGGAAACTCACCAGTGCTGGTTAATAAATACATTGACTGACCCCACAATGCGACTTGTAAGCCGGCCCTGTCCTCCAGCATTTCATACGATTTCCTAAAAGGTCCTAGCGCATGGCGCACCCCAACAATATAGGCTTTCGCGAAGCTCTCTTCTCTCTCGATGACACAACTTAAGCAAAATAATTATTAAAAATTTTCACATGATATTTTCAGCTATTCCACCGAATTGGAACGAGGAAAATCGATAGCGATTTGGAAAGGTTTCTGGAGTGGTCTCCTGGGTGGACTATTCTTTTTCGCGCTATTCTCTTTCTTGGGATGCGGAATGCTGTAAGTCACATTAATTCCTCATTTATAATCGGTATTGCGAACAAATGTCTTCCCAGAGACTCAGGGTCTCATATTAGAAATGCTGGACTGTGAAACTAAGTAAAAACGATAGAACGAGAACAATATCCTAGAAAATCTCTTATGAATCCTTCATTAGCGGTATTTTAGGAAGAAGGAACTATTGATTCCTGTATTGAAGGTGCGTAGCTTCCGCTCAGTCGATCTAAATTTTATGATTGACAAATAAACAAATAAATAAACAGATGTACCTACAGAGAACTTGTGAGGAAAAAAACCTCAGATGGATGAACCCCGTCATAGTGGCGATGGGGCCCAATAGATCAGCATGCTGAACTACGACTTTGAGCTTGATGTTGTTTGCAGATATGGCGGTTATTTGCTCAAAGTGAACATCATAAAAACACCTGGCGATGTGTTCATTGTTGTGATGTCTCTACTACTTGGTGCTTACTTTTTGGGATTGATCTCACCGCATTTAATGGTACTGCTAAATGCAAGAGTGGCAGCTGCTACGATCTACCAGACTATTGACCGGGTAAGAACAACTATGATAACTTTCGATAGCAGACAGTAATAAATCGCAATTATAGGTGCCAAAGATAGATGTCTACTCAGAAAAAGGACGTAAACCGGACCGAATTCATGGCCGTGTTGTATTTGAAAACGTGCACTTCCGATATCCTAGCAGGAAAGACGTCAAGGTTTGTTTTCAGGCTGCCGCTAAAGGCAGAAAACATGTCTGGGGAGGAGGCGGAGTTGCTAAGGCAGCGCATCTCCGCCTGTTGGCCAAGTAGTCTCACTGCTTTTGAGGAACATTGTACTCATTAAACAGTTTTGGGTAGCCAATACAGATCGCCGGAAAAAAGTTAATTCCAGGTACTGAATGGCTTGAATCTCGTCATTGAACCAGGCCAGACAGTGGCATTGGTTGGCCATTCTGGATGTGGTAAATCGACATCGGTCGGCTTGCTGACACGCCTTTATGAACCCGAATCTGGACGAGTTACGATCGATGGCGAAGATGTACGAGAATTGAACATAGACTGGCTGCGGAATGCCGTCGGGATTGTGCAGCAAGTGAGAACCTTACACAATATCTTGGCTATTTCGAGGAAAAATGTCAATCATTGCGCCCAGCGACTGCATGATCATGCTAACATACCATTCCTCAGAAGTGATAGGAGGAAGTTAGAAATAGGGCAGAGGTCACGGAAGTTTGGGAGCCAATTGTAAGATGTATATGAACCTATCAAAATCAGTCTATTTTGGCGAAGTAAGTGAGCTGAAACCAAACTTACTGACAGGATCAAAATGATGTTCTCTAACTGACCAGTCCTTATATCAGCTGAATGTCGCTAACAACAATAAACTCTAGAAGAAGGACGCATGGCGTATCCCAAAAAGTAATCATCAATCTGGTCCATATGCTTCCCAATGACGTCTGCATAGAAAAAATTGAAATATGAAGCGCTCTAGGTTAAATAACCCGTCTTTCGGATTACATCAACACTCCTTTTCCCAAAGAAGTCACGCAACGCATCCGACTCCCACTCGGGATCGTATATGCGTTTGAATGCGTGCCCCATCCTTATAGTAACTTGGGGGAGCTAGCCGAAGCATTAACTCAATGTTTTTGCCTTCCTCAGGAGTTTGCTACCGATCAACTGACCATAAGAGATGGAACCATCACAGGCGAGTGTCCTCTGGGATTGGTTCCAGGACCATTGAATATTACAATATTCTTTTATTCGTATTAAATGATGTTTTGATTATATACAATATGATAACTATAGGTAAGAAAAAGAAAAAAATGTTTCAGGAGCCATGCCTATTCAACGACACAGTGGCGGGTAATCTGCGTATGGGCAATCCGTCTATGTCCTTGGAACAAATGGTATACGTATGCAAAATGGCGAATGCACACGACTTCATTGGCAAACTGCCAAATGTAAGTTTGGAAACTGGGAATTTGGAAGAGTCGGAATGAACGTTGAATGTGCAGCACAGACAGGCCCCGAAGGCCGTGGACCTCTCATATCTTTAGAAAGGAGCCACCATGAGAAAAAAAACCTATTCTCTAATTTGGAGCGTTTTTTTAATTTCTTCGCCTCTGATGCCAATTTCTTTGTCAAAATTTTCGTTAATTGATCCGGGAAAAGATAAAGGATAAACGGTCCCACACTTCCCTTCCTACTCTTCATCGAAATTGAGAAGGAGTAATCACAATTGAGTTGATGATGCGAATGAAGAAACGGGCAACAAAAACGAGCAAAATCGACTTGCACTATTAAGTAGGATTGCAAACTTTCCGTGAGTTACAACAGACGCGTTCTGTCCGTTCTACAGCACATGTGTGGGACATGCGTGAAGAATTCTGGGCGAGCCCAGAATCACACCAATTAGTTGTGAAATGGGAAGGAAATCAAGGAAAAGGGGCAAAGGCAGTGAAAGGAGAATTGAATTAACAGCTTTGAAAACCAAATGAAATATGTTCTAAGCTTACAATAACAGCCTCAACAATGAAGTGATTAATGTTCCAGGCCTACGAGACCTACATTGGTGACGGGGGTGTGCAGCTGTCAGGCGGTCAGAAACAACGGATCGCCATTGCACGTACATTGGCACGTGACCCAAAGGTGGATTCGTGCACTGGACTTCACTGAATGAAGTTTTAAACTCCTGAAAACCTAGGTTCTTCTTCTGGACGAAGCAACAAGTGCTCTCGATGCTCAAAGTGAAAGCATTGTCCAGGTATGTAGCAACATCTTCGACCTATCATCCTTCCATGAGTAAGGTGGAATCAAACGTGAAGCAGAGGCAAAGGGGAATGGATATGGGTCAGGAGGTACCGTCGCGCGTCGTAAAAGACTAGGTTGCGGGAAGAACTCGTGCAGCCCTGGCGCGACCGCCTTTCGATGCACAACCTTCTCGCGAGCAACCCATAGAACGACATTTTGATGTGTTCCAGGGGTACATAGTGATTCCCTTTCGTTTCTCTAATATCAGGTCATATTCCGGAATGAAGTAGAATTTTCAGTCCGCTCTGAACAATGCTTCCCGCGGCCGTACAACGATAGTGATCGCTCATCGCTTGTCAACCATTCGAGATGCCAACAAAATTGTGTTTTTCGAAAAAGGACAGATTGTAGAGCAAGGAACACACCAAGAACTCGTGGCTTTACGTGGAAGGTGAGTTTTACTGGCTTTGCACCTGGCCACTAACAGACTTTACCAATATCTGTAAAGCGTTGATGCTCGATTGAATCGTTCCAAGAACGAACAGGACCAGGTTTTGGCGGATTCGCTTTGGAGCAAAGATTTGTATAGAAAAAAAAANAAAAAAAAACAAATGGAAACTGTCCGCCCAAGCGCCATTAGGAACCCGGAGGCAGTTTTACCAGTTTGATAAATTAACCTATTTATCTGAATAGCCCAACTTCAACCGCCAAGGGGATCGGACTACTAAAAAATAGACCAGTTGTTGCGAAAATGGCTGAAATTTGTAAATCAAGGGAGAGGTTTTGATGAACGAGTGTAAAGGGAAGGAGCGCCTCAGTGAGCATTAATCTTCTTTTGTTGAAGTTGTTTAGCAAAATTTCAACCGAACGTTCTTAGAGTTTTGGAGCAATACGTAGGTTGTACCCAACTTACCCAACATGCTTATTCCAATCATCTTTTTGACTCTTTCACAGGGGCAAAAGATATCAAATTGAATCTGGTAAGAAAGTATCGCTAGGACTACATTACGAGCTCTGAGTAGTACCTAATCGAAGTGATTTTGAGGTACTACGAGTTGGTGAAGGCACAACAATTCGAACCTGAAGCTGAAGAAGTTGAAGAAGAAGAGGTCGACCTAGGGTGAGCCTTGCAAAATTTAGTATTTCTGTTCAAAATTATCTTTTCATTTGTTCAGCAATTGAATTATATCATGCTATCAATATTACTATCACAACACTATATTATAATACTTTGAAATTATATATTATTACACATTATCATACGTTATTATAATACATAATACCAAATATCATATGATGAAATATAATATTCCGTATATTTTTTCATGAATTATTTTATGATTCTTTTTAGTGCATAGTATTACTACATACCATTATCACATATTATTATATGTTATCATTACATATCATTAGCACATAGTATTACTATCACACTATTATAACTGGTATAGTACAATATATTATATTTTCAGTGACAACGACGGAGGTTCCCTGTTATCTGGCCGCTCAACGCTAACTCAATCTAAAAGGTAAATACCCATCCGGCGGCACTGACGTTCTGTACTTCTCCCCTCATACGATATCATAACCTTATTACCCTACTACCTACAGAGTAAAATGGGACCAAACTGTTCGTTGTTCAATTTCTAGGAGAGGTGAATGTCTGAGACTTGGGATAGTGCAAAATCGTTGTGAGGCCATTCATCAAACTTGTTGAATAGATGTCATATTGATGGAGGACTACAAGAACGCTCATGATAATTTGGTCACAGCTGCTCTCTGCCCCGTGGAAAAAAATTATCGCAGCGACATAGTCTTTTGCGGCTCACATGAAAGTACTAACGACTTCTTTTTCTCCTCATTCATAGCCTTCCAATTACAAAAATCCATAGAGATCTGGAAAAAAAAGATCGAAGTGCAATGGGCGAAGGGAAACAGGAAATGAGAAAATCCAGGAAATGACACGACAACAATCTTTTTTCGAAACCCTCACTAGATCGTGGGAACCCGGAAATTGCGACAGAAATCCTCAAGAAGATTCATCAAGTAAAATGAATCCGTCGAAAACGGTCTACTGTACACATTTCCGAGCACGCGCCGTTCTTGTTGTTCAAGCTCTGCCTGGCACCAAATCTGCCTCAAGCATCTCTCTGTTTATTCCAATCATGGTCGTCTTCGAAGGGGATATGGTAGGGAAAAGCGGGCATGTTCCTATTTATGAATATTAAGTATCAGCAGAAGAATCAACACGAAGATGATGAGGAAATAGGACCGCCACCTTACGTGGTTCAAAGACAAAATTCCGTATGAATCTGCCCAGGCCGTCTGTCTTCCCCGTGCCTTAGAGCTCACTTACATGATACCAGATCGGTCTGGACTGATAAATCAGGAAGAGAGGAGCTTCTTCATTTCCAGTTAAAAGATACCCAACATTAAATTCGTGTCTCGCTTGAAAATGTTTGAATAGTAGCCTTTTTCAGATCCGGCTCTGAAGCGTTTGTCCGTGGGCAGGCTCTTAATGACTCGTTTGGGCGACAATCATACAATGCTGAAGCGGACGCAGAAAACGAAGCCCTTGCTCTGGAGGTGAAAAGAATCATGGAGGAGGTAAGGACTGATATCATTCAATGAGAAGATCGAAGTGCAGTTTAGTTTTAAGAGCTATGCTCACCTGGAGGAGAGAAGGAGTCCATTATTAATCTTCAGTAAAAACCTCATGGGAGTTTAAGATATAATTTATATCAAGCAACAGTCATGCCGAGGTTTATGAGAGCCCGTACGTGGGTCTACTATGAGCGCATGCTCCTCCTTCTCCCACTCTCTGCCGGGAAAAAACGATAACTCCAGACGATCTCTATCGGTAGCCCGCGTACTTCTACTTCCGCGGTTGAATACCATTATTTGTTGCGTCCTCCTTAAGGAAATCGGTAAATCCAATCGATACCAATCAACAGCTTGGGGTTTGCATAATGATGGAGTCAACCAAGTTAATCAAAAACGATTCGAATTCAAAATATTCGAGAATGGTGTCGAAAAAGAACGAACACGAAGGAAGGAATCGAGTTAGGAATTCAACCAGTCTCCCACAGAACAACCAAATAATCCGATTTAGGACGGTGTCATTAGTGCTGGATACATCGACATCTACAAAAACGCCACCGGGAATTACCACTGGATATTCCTCGGCTTTGTCACAGCGGTTTTCCGTGGAATGGAACTTCCAGCGCTGTCTCTTGTTTTTGCCTACGTCTTTGAAGCATTTCAAATGGTCCCATGGGGAGCCGATATGATGCACAGGTAGGTCAACATGGAACCATTAGCTGCAAGAAGAATCCACACTACAAAACAGTGGGTAAGGTGATTCCAGTAATCGTTTCAGATTATGCATGGCTGTTATCATTTTCGGTTCCATTGGCGTTGGTGTCGTCATTTTCCAACTCCTTAGCGTACGTTTCTAAGATGATTTGCATACTTTTCTTTGGCCTAATTGCTGAATTGCTTTGTTCCGGTCAGGAAGGTTAAGCTGCGTAAGGGGCGAATCCCCTCGTTTCTGAATTCACTCTTTGAGAAGAAGGTAAAAGCGTACAAAAAAGCAGTTCTATCAAACTACTCGGTTGACTGGGATTCTTATAAAGTTATGGCATCACGATTTGAAACCAAGATGAAAAAGTATTGTTGTTTAGTCGAGAAAAAAATTATTGAAAACAAGAACAAATCGGCTCTCTTAAAATATATTTCATTTCGATGCAAGTCTAAAGAGAAACTACCAGCGCTCATCCAGCCCGACGGGTCCCGTGTGTTCTCTGATGCCGATAAGGCGGAATGCCTCGCTGATTTTTTTGAAAGCATCTACACCTCTAATAGTGTTCAGGCGAATGCTA